ATGTGTTTCAGAGGGAGCTAGTAGAATTTCTGGTGATAAAATTTGTTAGTAACACTCAATATTGAGAAACGACTGACATTTAAGTGTAATCTGTCTTTTATCTATATTGTAATGGTAGTGACTGAAACATTTCCAAAAAATAGGTACAGTGTCTAAAAATTTTATTTTTCCTAGCACATTACCTGCATGACATGGATATATATAGTTAGGTTAGAAATCCTTTTTTTACAATATTAAACTACTGCATTTAAGTAGTCTGTCTAAAACTTAGCCCAATCTTTTAGCTAATCAAGGTAAAATGTACATACATTTACATATCTATCTAAGTGTATATTTATTTGTGTAAAAACTTAAAATATAACTTAATACTTCTGGCTCTTTTGATCAAAACTATGAGTTATATCTGGTTTAGGTGAGGCTCAGATTGATTAGTATTGAGCAGTTTAATCTTATGAGGGAACTCTTTAACAACTTAACCTGCCTTTTTCAAGAGGACAGACAGGATTGGTGTGACTGTTAGAATATATTTGGAATAATATTAAGACTTTTGGAATCTAGTAATGTATGCTTCAGTATACTTTTCCTGTATACACAGATAGCCAAACTTTATGAAATTATGAACTGTTTGAAGGTACAAGTATATTTTTTAAATATTTGATAAAACACCTTAAGTATACAGGCGCTGTGAGATATGCAGGAAGGGTATAACCACAAGTATATTGCTATTCTTGTCTAAACATCAGTTCTTTTGGAATGAAAATTAATAAATAAAAATGTATAATATTGTTCATGTTCCTGCAGCCTACAAATGTAGAAAAAAAAAAACCCCAAACCAACCATAAGACACTTTATTTTATAAGATTAGGTTCTGTAATTAAGTATAGATCCCATACCCGAAAATCATAACTTGTCACTAAAACTGAGTAAATTAGTGTTAATAAGTCTTTTAATATGTGCAGTGACAAAAATTATACATTAAAATCCATTATTAACAGAAACATTCAGGAGTTAATTGTACTACTTAATTTTAACATTTATAATGCCTAACATTTTATAAAGGAAATGTTTTTTCTCCTCAGATTATTTTTCTCATGATAGGTCATTAGAAGGCATGTTCTTCAGGAACCATGTATGAAACTACCAGTAAGCTATCAGAATTTAATGTAATGTAATCTAATCTAATCTAATCTAATCTAATCTAATCTAAAATGATTAGGTTGTAACATCAATACCTCTCCTTTTACCTTCATATTAGCTTACCCATTAAAACATAGAACAATTTAGAAAGGCAGTGTTGTTCACAGGAAATTGAATTGTTTAGTTCCACCAAGTCCTTTTTTAAGTCCTTTGAAAATGCTTAGTATAAAATACATAAATTCTGTGTCTAACACTTTCTAATAATATACTTAATTTTCAGGCTACAACAACAAGGAGCAAAGAACACGGGAACATAAATAAAAATCTCATTAGGAGAAATATGATCTAGATTCCATAACAAAATGATCATACAAAATACACTACACTTTGTTATTACTATCCTTTTCATCTTTCCTTCAAAACGCTGGCTTCGTTCTGTACGGTGGGAAATGTTAGCCGTGTGAGAGAAGTTTTGTAAATACTTTCTTCCCAATCAGTGTGCTTCTTTATTTCTCCACCTGAAATCACACTGTGAATGACAAAATAGAAATTTTTTCTTGAACCTTTTTTTTATAGTGATTTTCAGTACAGTACTGAACTATTTCAAATACTGAACTAATTTTGACCATAAATCCTCCAGGGTCAGCTGCTGTTACCTTCCTTGTTTTACCAGATAGTAACTGATACACAGATATGAGCCTCACATGTACACCTCCTCTGATGAAAGTTGGGACTTCAAGATTTGATTACTCTTGCCTGTCTTTCCCAGCCCCAAGACAACTCAACTTAGTATATTGGCATTGTTTTTCCCACTGATGTAGTTTGGATTGATCTCATAGAAGAAAATAAAAAGTAGTGATAATACTTAGTAACTGAATTTTCAGGTATCTAGTCAAAAGAGTGGATTATAATTGTGTAGGGAAAATCTTTATCCATGCCTTTATTGACTTTTTTCAAGGATTTTATGTGACATACTTGCACTTTTTTGCATAATAATACAGTATCATAGATTTCTTCACAGGCCAGACAGGCAAAGAAAAGCCAATATTTAGCTTCAGTTTACATCTTATGTATTTAACACTTACTTTAAGTGCAGGACAGACCATGCATGTTGAACCTGGTAAAGTTACACATAGTAATTCTGTTTCCTGGCTTAAGAGAGATACCTTTTGCAAGTTAATTTTGCATACATTGCGTGTGGCAAGACAGTGCCAATTTCCTTATTAATTTGCTATTCTAAACTTGATAAATGTGAAAACTGTAAACTTTAGTTTGAATTACTTCAGTTCCTCAGTGCTTCAGATGTGCACAAGTGCTATGAAAACGATGGTGTGTATGGATTAGAGGTTTCTGAAATTTATGTATTTTGCAAAAAGTGTCAGTTCTGTGTTTTAATAGTGAAACAAAGGCTCTTTTTAATGTCTTTGCTACAAATCTAAAATTGCACATGAATTTGATGTAAAACTATATTGTTATGAATTACTGATTTGGGAAAAATAATTAACACTTGTATGATAAAAACAGTTTTTCTGGGATGGGTTTTGCATGGTTTCTTTTATTATAATTTTTTTTTTATTTCCTTAAATTATTTTAACATGTTTTCAGTAATAATGAAAAGATTTTCACCTAAGGGTGTTCAGAAAAAGCAAGTCTTAACCTTAATTTTATTAAGTCTTAAACTGCCCTAAATGATGATAAGACAAAATATACAGATTACTTTTGCTTGATGGTTTTTTCAAAAAGATAGCATCCATTTTCTGAAAGGAGAAATGTAAAAAAGCTGATTTCTAAAGACAGGAATAAGAAAAATATAATCCTTTCTCAAAACGTACACAAATAGGTAGATCTGATAGACAACTAGGTTGCCTTAGAATCATAGAATCAGCAAGGTTGTAAGAGTCCTTCAAAATCATCCAGTCCAACCAGCAGCCAGCACTACAACTGTAACCACTAAACCATATCACCAGATGTGTCTTAAACACCTCCAGGAACAGAAGACTCTGTGTCAGCATATAAAGTTATGTTCAGGAAAAAGTTGTAACAAGTGTGAAATGTTATAAGCACAGCATACTCCAAAGCTAGTATACTTTAATTCACCAGGGAGTTGTTTGGAACTCAAAGATGTTCCAACTCATTAATGCACTTGAGATAAATTTGGTAGTTGTCATTCACAGAAGTTTTAAGAAAATACCTACATTTTGAAATGGAAGCTTAAAGGCAGAGATATGATTTATGTCTGAAGAATAGATTATTTTCTTATTACCTTTTCTTTCTTTCAACAAGTCCTGCTTTTTTTTTTTTACTTTTAAAAATGCTGTAAGAAAATAAAAAACAAATGGTAGCGTTAAGTAATACCGTGCTTTTACATTTTATTTAACTTCATTGTATGTTTTCCAAGTCCCACATCACCGAGTGTTTGTGTTCATTTGTTTTTTAGCTTATTTGCACTAATCTTGATGAACTCAGGGAATTAATCACAAAGATTGAGAATGAACTCAAAGATCTGGAGGACATTAAAAAGAAATCGGTATGTGACATTAACAGCTTTCTCTTGTATGGATATAAAACAGTGCCAGTTATTTACTGAGGCCTCTCAACTGAAGATTTTTATGCTGTTCAATAACTGCATAAAACCTCATATGGTTGATACCTAGAGACTGTAATTTTAATCTTTCCTGTATGTAGTGCTCTGTTCTCAATGTTTTTAGAAGTGAATTCAGTAACTATGTTAACACTTTTCACTGCCAAAATAAATTTGGATAGTGGCAATGTCTTAGAAGGAGTAGTTCATTTCTATTAAACATGTTAACATTCTGCCCTGAGGACAATTCTTACTAACAAGCAATTACAGGATAGAATTCTTATATCTGCCTATGCAGTGCTGATCAAAACTTCCAGTGAGCTGACTCTTACATTGTTATTGGGATTCCTAACTCCTTTTGTTTGCAAGTAAGTTATTAAAATTGGCTTTGTTTAATTTTTATTAAAGTAGGTTGTACCAGAAAGCATGCTATCTGGCTTTTGGTGTCAGACTGAGATACAAATTTTACCAATGTACGCTGGATCATTCAGTCTATGCAGCTGAAAACCTCGAATGAGTAATGGTTAGACAAGAGAATCCAATATGTTTTGGCTTTTGTAGGAGACAGTGATTTTAATTAAGAGGGTAGATAAATTTAAATACATGAATAGTACTCATATGAATGTCCCTTTTTAGTGAATTATTCTTCTTGCATTTTTGTATTGTCGTTCTGTTTATTGAACTAGGCATTTCCGTGGCATTTCTATAAAAGGTGGTAGATAAAAATGTTGCTTTTTCTAAACCTTAGAAACTAGACTGCTTTTAATTCAAGTGAATGTCTACAGTCTCATGCAGAAACAATTTATTCCTAAATTTTTTAAATAGAGGAGACAGATGTAGGAGAGCGGCAATATAAATTAGGACTCTGAAAGACAAATTTCTCTGCAGGCACTTAGCATAATAATTGTTAAAATATCCAAGCAAATAAAAACAGCTTTATCTTGAAATTATTTTGCAGTTGCTAAATTGCAAGTTGGTTTTTATGATAAAATGTCAAGAGGTTATCAGAAAGGTTATGGCAACAACAGAAGAAAAAGCAAAAAAATTAGAGTATACTACAGCATATCAATAATCTTAGTGTAGGTGACACTTTTAGTCTGCTAGTAAAACTGTATGAACAAGACTTCTTCAAGGGTAGACAAATGCTAAATATGTCATAATTGCTCTTTGAACTGAAATCTGATAATGTCATTATGTAAGTAAGTTGCATGACTTCAGCAGGAATACTATGTTTAGTTCTAATTGCACCATCTTAAAAAAACCAAACACTGAAGTATAGGGGAGTTAAGATTCAGCATTCGGAAGTTATGAGGTAAGGACAATCTTTCTTGTGCTTGTATAGACCTATCGGATCGTGATTCTGGGTCTCTAAACACTTGTGTTGTTAGAAATTTTACAGAAAGGAAAAGGGTTAGGATTAATTGCTGAAGAAGTGGTTATGAGGAAACAGTAAAGTGAAATACTGATTTTTAAAAACATACTTATTAGGGAAGTTTCAAATAGAAAGATGTTAAATTAGATGAATAATCATAAATTTGACATGTTAAAATTAGGTTTCAGTTTGTAAGGAAAGTCATTAGGATGTCACTTTTGACGTCTAACACCATGTGTAATTTTGTTAGATAGGTGAAAAATTGGAGAAAAACCAGATTTTTATTCTTCATCTCTGATCAAATGACAGTGGCAGTTTCAGAAGCATCTAGAATCAAATTTGTTCGGTTTTTCTGACTATTAAGTAAGACATTGTTTTAATTTGCTAATGGAAGTAGGATCTAATGTGAAAGCTTATTTTAATATGATGGTATTTATACATGCTGTTCATGGACTTTTTTCTTGTTTCGACCCAGAATGGTGATGTTGTTACTACTTCATGGTAACTTTATTGATTTTTGTTTGCAACAGTGACCTGAGTAAAGCCATAGGAATCTTCTTCATGGCTAACCTCCTTGGTAATTCCAGTTTTAGGAGTTGCTAGCACATGCTACTGAGAAAAATTGTCAAGGCAAGCTTTAATGTTATGTTAATTACTAAAGCATATTAGAAATACAGCTTGTCTAACTGATAGTAACACTTTTAAATATAACCTTTTCTTAGTCCTAACCTCGCTTTTGTTTCCTAGAAGACCATTCTAGAGTACGTAAAAAGAATTCCTTCTCCAGAACTTGGAATTAGTGGAGACTATAATGAGAGAGCTGAGCTGTAACACTTTTTTAACATGAATAAACTTACTATTTTCCCTCATTTTTTATAGGTAGTTGGACTGGTTGTATCTGACACGTTTCAGAACATCAGCTTGAGACAACGAATGACATGACAGGTTTTTGTTTGGCAAGTTAAAATCAAATTAGAACAGGGTTATGTAATGGAAAGCCATGGGTAATTTTAAGTGTGGACATTTCAACAAGCTTCTTCCACAACAATGAAGTAATAAATCTGCTTCGTTAATTAAAACAGTTTGTTTCTGTACTCTTGTACACTGAATTGTCTTTTGAATTAGTTATGAGTATTATTTTTCCTTTTAAAAAATCTTACACTTTTGATTGATTACTGGTGAGTTTGTTGTACCAATTTTGAGATTTGCTTTGTGCTAGTTCACTGTAACTGTTTAGAGAGAATAAAATTTGACCTCAGTTCTTTAATTTTGAACAGAGTTCAACTCTGCTCTTGAACTCCAGCCACAGTTCTGAAGTGACACTGCAGTTTCACATATGCTTTCAACTGACATAAGCCAAAACTGCTGCCAAATAAGTAGTTCCTACTCTCTGTGTCTCTGGAAGCTTCTCTTTTCTGTTCCACCCCATGAGAGAAGCTAGCAAAATTCTTTATTCAGCTGCGTGGTGAGAGAGTTAGTCTGTGATAAACCTAACTACCCTTTTTCTGCTGCTGAGTTTTTTTAAGCCAGATCAGTTTTCTAGTGCAATTTATCATGCAGTTGCACAAATACCTGTGCTTGTATTCTGCCAGAGTCTGAGGAGTCATTGTAAGAACAGGATTGAGCATCTGTGGGGAAAGTGGGACTGATTTGGACAGGAAAAGTGCCTTTTTGTGACAAGTGAAGTTGTGTGTGATATTACTATCAGAAGTGCTCTAAAAAGTCTATACCTTCAGCTGCTAAACAGTTCTATGTATTATATGTAATGTATCTACTATATATTACATATCCAGAGGGAGATAAGTCAAATTAGTGAGATTTACTGTTTGAGTGCCTGACAGGAAATCAGAAAGTGAAAGATGCAGAAAGCAGGACTTAAAGGACTTGTGTTTAATGTTCTGTGCACTGTCTAGTGACAGGAAAGAGAATGGTTCCCTAAGGAATGTCTAAGCTAGAATCCTTTAATTTTAAAATAGTATGACTAAAAATGGCAGTAAAAATTGAATTAATAGAAAAAAAATGTGTTAAATTACGTGGGTTAAATTACAAGCAGTGAGTAGACAATTATAAACCTGAAGTAGAACATACTGGCTAAAAATTCTTTTGAGATTTTATTGCATTTTTACCTCTTATTTGCTGAAAATTTAGACTGTATATATAATATGCATGACTGTTCAATTGAATGTGAGGTCTTAGAAATTTGCTATAACTATCAAATCGATCAAGGCATGCAAAGTAGCCTAATTCCACACTTGGAGTGGTATTGCTGAAAAAATAATTTTGTCAAACGTGATAGTGAAGCATTTTGCCAGTATATTTAGGATAACATAGAGACTGCTATCTAATATATGAAATTTCTTTTATGAGAAGAGATGGTAAAGTAGCACCTCCTGTCCTATCAGTATGCAAGATAACAACTATGAGCTTCTGACATTTTGGATCCCATTTTTCCATAGGTTTTCTGTGTCTGGTCAAATCAGTGGGAGTTGCAGCATGAGTGGAAATCTTCTCACTGCCTTGCAGATAATCAGCTTCTCTTGTGATCTGAAATAATTTTGCTTTGTGTGTGTGAAACTGTTAATTAAGCTATTTTGTAGATCATTTGTATATACTTTACTATTGCATACCATAGCAAAAATTTTTATTTTTTTTTTCAAACCCTTCTTGACATTGTGTAGTATGAAAGTGCCAGGACTGCAGGTACTTGTATAAAACAGTGAACCTCGGGCTTTTTTTGCAGATGCCATTTTGCAAGCTGACTTTGTAGTAAGCATGTTTTTATGTAAAATTTGAACATGAACATTGAAAGATTTCTTATTTACTGTAATGCAAGACTTTATTTTGGTAGGACCATTGGATTGGAATCATTCCCTACAAGTATGACCAGTAAATGAATTGCTGTCCAGGGAGTTAGAAGGGAGGCTGGAGCCCAGGATTCCCATAGCTAAGTTGAGAAGGTTAAATGGATAAAGGGCATTACTTTCCTGAGAAGGAGACCACTCTCTCCCTATAGAGAGAAAAAAGTCAGACAAAGGTTAAAGAAAGGAGAATTACTTAGTCAAAGGACACCAGCCACTTTAAGAACTAATTAGGGTTTGGAAAAAATGCATTGAAGATTTTATTGTTTATGGAGGTCTGTAACACCCTGATGTTCTTGACTTTGTAACAAAAAAAGTAAAAACCTCTCTTATGAAGGTTTTCAGTTCTGCTATTTTTCCTGGAGGTTAGACAGTTGATTTAGACAGTCCCAGGACAAGTGAATGTCTTTTGTCTATCTTTGGGAGTGGATGTATGTTTTAGGCAGGTGAGTCAGAAGGGCTGAAAGCAAGCTGAGGTTTTCTGCAGCTTCAAGTCATATCTGCTGAAAAAATACATATTTCAGACAGCATCTGAAAATTCAGAGAGAAAAACCCACTGGTTCAGGTCAGAAATATTTAGAACTTCGGACATAAATTAATTTATGAGGATAGTCAAAGGAATACATTGATCCAGGATGGAACATAATATTTTCCATCTGGTTTTTTTGACGCTCTAAACAAGCTGCTGTTAAATTTGTTTGTACAAGGTTTAAGTA